CAAATGATCTTCATTTTGAAAAAAAATATGATAAGAAGAATCATCACGGCCATCAAATCAGTTTTGAAATTCATTTTTCGAGTGGGAACTGAGTCGAAAACATTTGAGTAGACACCAAAAACTAGAGCCGAAAATAAATAGATGCCACATAAACATTAACAAACTCATTCAAGCAAAAAATATATATACGAAATCTAAAATAGTAAACTTTAGGAACTAAATACCAACTTTCAATTATAAATAGAGTTGCTTAAATAATCATTAAAAAATCCAAGCGTTGGACCGATAAGTTGACAAAAAAAAACGAACGATAGCCCGACAATTGAAGTTTTCCAAAAAATGCTTCCTTATAATAAAAAAATGGCTCGGTCGGGGCCCGAACTCTTTAACTTATGTTCCACAGGCACGTGCTTTACCTCTTGAAAAAGGTCCGAAAGGTGTAGAGGTTCCATAAAAAACAAGGTATACCTACACAATTACATAAACTCATGATGGAAAAGAAAAGGTGCGACCGAACCAAGACCTGTCGCCAGTAAAAAGAAAGAAAAAAGTCAAGTTTTCGATTACAAGTCACTTGCTCTCGCAAGTGAATTAGAAAGAAAAACAAAAATGAGCAAACATTTCCAGTTTGGAATTGATAGATTACAAGGCATAACTGTGTCTTTAAACGCTAAGAAGTTTTCGTCAAAGTAAATTGGTAAATCTTTTGCAAGTTTCGGCAAAAAAGTTTGCAAGGAAGTTTCGAAAAACGGCAAAATTGAGAAAAAATAAGACCCGTGTTAGAACTGTCTTGAATGATATCGACGGTTACCAGCGCAACAAACTGAATTTTTACCCAAACATCTTAACTCATGCTATACTAACAACCCAGCAAGCCAATATAACGATTTTGAAATAAGAAAATTCGGTTGGAGTAAAGTTGACTTTAATTTTAGCATAGACATCGCTAGCTCCGCTAGTTATGAAACTATCCACAATTGAAAAAACTGGATCAGTTTTTGGTTTACTTTATTCCGCTGCAATTCATAATGAAATTCCCCTTTGGAAACTATACTGTTATATTTACTTTTTTAATTTTCAAGTTAATTTTGATCGGCGACAATTTTGTTTCCTTTTTGAGTTGCTGGGAAAATTTATTTTATCTCTTAGGTATTGATTTTCGAGGACAAAGCTTTTCAAGCAATTAAAAATCTCCATCGGAAGAAGCTTGGCATTTTAGCTACTAACAACATGCCCGCATCAAACCCATGAATAAATCCAAAAATTCATAATTGGAAAGGAAAGTGCGAAAAATTCATAAGTAGCAAGAGGAAAACAAGACCAACAATTTATGAATTTAGTCTTAAGTTAGTATGATGAAGGAAAATCTTAAGACATCTAAAAGCAAATCTTAACACCTCTAAAAACTTTGATGAGGGCGAGCTGTCGTGTCACTCAAATTTTTCTGTTCCCAAGTCAACAGTGATTACGATATCAATCGAAAAATATGAATTGAAAAACAACGTCATTGTTTTTGGATCATCTTAATTTCTGAGACAATTTTCATATCTCATCTCAGTTGCCAGTTGTTCGATTGTGCCCGAATCATCAAAACATAGCAAAAAAGATGATTCTACGCAACTATAGGCTTCATCGAGGACTAGAAAGATGATCAAAATTAAACTCGTGCTGTAAATGTTTTTTTCTCGGACATCTGGTCAAACTATTGATCTTATAGCAGATTATGTACGCAAAAATTTCGAATAAAATTTAAAAAAAATTAAACAGATATTTTCAAGACCTATTCATATTCAGAAATTTCATATACAAAAAAATGAAGTATTTGAAAAAAAAAAAATTTGAAAAGATCATATTCTCAAATTGTATTTCCCTATTTCGATTCAAAAGCAAACAGGTTACAGAAAACTGCTAGCTTACGTGCTTACAAAAAAAACTTGAAACAAAAAACCTTTTTCAAGAAACTTTTTTGATTAAGCTTTGTAACCACTAATTCAGTTTGAAAATTAATCAGCATGCAGCTTCTTGACAAAAGCGGAGCTGCAGTAAAAAACGGCGAGGCAGGAAGAATCTAGGATTTGAATCAGAACTGCTTTGAATGATATAGACTGCTAGCTACTAGTGCAACGAAAGAACCACTTCAGTACTGACACTTATTCATCTACATCTTCACATGTTCTATACTTTAAACTCAGGTAGCAATGATAACGGTTTTAACACTTGTTGTTGAGACAAAGTTCACTCATACTGAAACAGGAGAAACGATGGCTCCGCTTGTGATGACATTAACTCAAATACTTTAGAGCATAAAAAGTAATGAGCTCTCCGAAGAACGCTGTCTGAGATGGCATAACTGATTTATTATACGCCGAAACTAAAGCTTTGGAAACAAACCCAATTAAACACCGTTTAAGATAAAATAAAAAGCAATTGAAAAAAAAAACGAAACAAAAGAACGAGAGGACGAACATCACCAATCCGAAAAACATTAACTTTAAAAAAAATTACTCGAAGCAAACTCGGTAGTTTCAAGTGAATTTATAAACATAGCCAACTGACAGTTGGAAAAGAGTAATAAGCGCAAGGAAACTAAAAAAAAAACAGACTTGTTTTTCAAAAACCTTACACTTTTAAATTTCGAAAAAATTAGATGGCCTTAAAGCTCTTGGAATTTGTAGAACAAATTATGACGGACACTTTTTTGTTAAAAATAATCCAATTTGAGAAAACTGGATCAATAGGTAAAACTTGCATTTCGCTGGGAAATCTGATAATTAATTTCCATTTTCGAAATTAGAAGCCAATCACATTTTTCGCGACTTTTACACTTTCGCTGATCGATAGTGAAGTTTGCCTTCCTTTTCACAATGGAAATGCATTGAACTTGAAAAAAAAATCAAAAGTCAAACCGCGAAAAATCAAACTGAGCGTGAACAAATTTCAAGAATTTTTCCTGAAAAAAAATTAGCAAGACCTATCTAAGAGTACTCACTACGCTTGTTACTATTAAACACGGGCAAAACTAAGCTTCGCACCACTTGCGAAACAACAGTTACATAATTAAAAAGCATGACGCTCAAGAAAAAACTAGCAGAGGCAGGGTTAGGAGTATTTTAAAACCTGTTTTAAATCAAGGTAAAAACTCTCGTTTTAAAACAAAAAACAGTGCTTTTTATAATAAAATGTTTAACGCTTAAACTAAATTTACTGGTTTAAATTACTAACGGAAAAACAGCAATTTTCAAATACTGTGAAAAAAACATTAAATTATGTTTTTTAATCAAAAACGCGGTTTTATTGATTTTTTTGTAAGAGGACTTTGAACAAGGTTAACGTCGAAAAACGAACTAGCTAAACATATGAAAGCTTTTTTGTTAAAATTTAAATGAGTTTGCAAAAAAGTCCAAGTGGGAAGTGGCGCTGATCTTGAGCATTTGAAAAAATTAGGGCCTGTATCAAAGGGATCTCAAATGGCCAGGTTTTGAAACGAATGAAAAAATGTAAATTCCCCTCCCCTTTAAACCACACGCACACAAAAACTAGTTTTTCTTATCAAATAGCGCAATTTGAGGTCACTACGCCGATATAAAATAGGCCGAAACCGGTTAAGCTGAAAAATGGGCGAAAAAAGATTTTTAAAAACAATGAAATGGTAAAATAGCAACCAACAAAAAAGCAAAATTTGAAAAGGACAAATCTTGTAAATACTATTACGCTCAAAATATTTCTGTTGGAGTATTTCCAAAAAGAAAACGAGGAGACGAAAAAGTCTAACAGATAAGTTTTATGAGCTAAATTGTTTATGTGAAAGTCTAGTAACCGATTGCCACACCCTTGCTGATCGGTCGGGTAAGTATTGAGCAACTCAGCTTGCGCAAGAAAGTAACTGCACGCATTTCTAACAGATTTATGAGAAGTTGTTCATGGTTAAAATGACTAATTCCCGATTACAAATACACTTGCTTTCGCAAGTAGAGGTAGGTTTTGAAAATTTTCAACCGCGCTAAACATTGACTTTTGTCAGCCCAATTTGAGCAGTGCTACAAATCGACTTGTTTACCGTGACTTTCAATGCCCGATATGCAAGCCTGCTATGCAATGACTTTGTCCATTGTATGAACACAATAATTTGCAGACAACTGAAGTGAAATTACTGAAAATGGACATTGACTTTTAGAAAGAAAAACTTGAAAACTGAAACATTATGTTAGAAATGCAACTTAACAATGAAAAATAGATGTTTAAAATGTTATCGTAATGCACATTTATTAGTTTACATGACGTTTTTAGAGAAAAACCCCAGTACAAATGACTCTCTTTTTACAATAGGAATCGACTCATCAACGACGACAGCAGCCACCTAAGCTATACTAGGATTTTTGGACTAGGTTTAGGAAACCCAACCTTTGACTTATCATTTTACTTTTGCGATTGCAAAATGAGACCGGCTGTTAGCCCGATTTGAGCAGTTCTACAAATCGACTTCTCTATCGCGACTTTATCGTGACTTTCAATGTCCGATATGCAAGCCTGACAGGCGATGACTTTGCCCATTGTATGAACACAACAGTTTGCAGACAACTGAAGTCAAGTTACTGAAAATGGACAAAATGACTTTTAGAAAGAAAAACTTGAAACCTGAAACAAAGTCTTATAAACACAACTAAATAATAAAAAAATTGATGCTTGAAATGTTACCGTAATCCACATTTAGTTTACAACTTTCGTAATTTCAACAGAAAACCCCTTTTCACATTTTGGTCGTTTTTCTGCTGCTCAAGGCTCTTCAGTAGTTATCGAAAGAAAAATTTGACTTACAGAGAAAGTTTTTCTTTAGTATTGACTGGTTTTCTGGGCCATTAATTTTAGGTAACCATTTTATACCCATAGGAAGCATGTCGGCATATTAACCAATCTCGCAATTTCCGCAAACATCCATGGAAAGCTACATCCAAAATTGATATTGAAAATGTGCAAACGAGTTCTCAAGTAGGAAAACAAGATGAACAATATACATATATAATTAGTCTTAGTTTCGAGTAAAACTAAACAATAAGCGATGGAAGACTACACTATAATATTTACATGTCTTGATTGCGAGTATTGATATAAGAAATACATTTAGGCTCAGCTAGTTCACTTTTAGCCTCCTCCAGTTTTTTTTCCTGGTTTGGATAGAAGTCCAGACTTTTTCTTCCGTAAGCCAGCATAGATAGAACATAGAATAGGAGGCCCATTGAAGCACACGACAGCACCAGTAGAAATGTAGTGAATGATAGTTTGTCCAGACTGTATAAAAGACATGACCCTTGACCTTCGTCGCAAGTCACCTCCCATAGGTCACAGTTGGCGTCCATGATGGCCCCGAATACCAGGGGTCCTGTGGACATTCCGAGCACTCGGAAGGCTATGTTTGAAACTGCGAGGGAAAGAGAAGCGAGATGGGGCGATGAGATAAGTTTCAGGTTTCCACTTAGCCCGATCGGTACTTTAATGAGCATCGCAAAACAGAAGAAACCAAGACCTGCAAACAATGCACGACATCATTCATTTTGAAACAACCAAGTAAGATATCATTCGAATGCGCGTTTTTTAAATTTTACGCAGAGGCAAAGCTTCGCTTCGCAAACACTAGCGAGAACACGACAAAAAGCAGCTCTATAAAGTGCAATTAAAGAAGAAATAAGCATCGAATTAGTAAAACTTCGGCTATGTCTTGGATTCGATCTACGACCTAGAGATTATGCGTCTCGCGCACTAACCACTCAGCCATTGAAGCTTAATACTTTACAAACACTAGCCACAATCAAAGCAGAGAATAGATGCTATGAAATTTCTAATGATACAAATCGTGATTATAGCAAGTGCCACCGGCTCTTTTCCAGTCCCCCCCTTTCAAATTCAATTTTGAAAAGCTTAATTAACGTTGTCATAATGCAATGAAATTTGGCATGGTGAACAAATCGTCAACTGTGAACAGATTTGTTCTTCATACATAACAGCGTAACATCACGCATTTAGCCGTAATAACACGTAAAACAAACATAAAATTCGGTATTTTGAAAGGGTGGGACTGGAAAAGAGCCGTGCCATCAAATCAGGTGACACTTATTTAGTGCCACCAAATAAGGGAAAACGTTTTATGAACACTTATTTGCGAGTTAAGTTATTAAAAAAAGAAGGTTCGTAATAATACACTACGCTGCTCACTAGTGTAAATAGCAAGTGTGTGCTAAATTTTTGAAAAACTGGCTCTCGTTTTCCTTTCCCCCCACCTCACATAAGCATAAGTTTTATGGTGTAACGAGGGGTCTTACGACGTTAAGTATAAAAACCAAATATCTTGGCCAGGACCTAATTAGTCAGCACGCCAATTTTTGTAACACTGGGACATTGTGAACATTAAATTTACTAGTGAATTTTCGCTTGTGGGGGGGGGAAGAGCCGAAAAACTAACATTTTTACATTAAGTTAGGCCAAACGATTAATTAAGAAAAATTAATGGAAGCCTTTGTGAGATTGCGCATTTTGAACTCACCAATTGCGGCGAAATATTTCTCAGGACAGTCTATTGCACAAAAACCTTCCTCCACATTTTCTCCTAGATAGCTTCGGTTAAGTGATGACTCATGCCCGTGGCTAACAGCACCCACACATGAGCAATCAGTCTTATCACCTTCGCATCCGGCGTAACACGCATTAAACAGCGTAGTTTCAGACGCCTCGTGACATACTGGCTGGAAAAGACTAACAGAACACTGGCATTTGTCAAAACACACTTTTCCACTTTCTAACATACTCGAAATCGACTCTTCGGTAGTAGCACCAGGAACATTAGAAACAGATTGTTCCGGACAGTGTAAGAGAATAGAAGAGGATAGAATCATTTCGAGAAGCGTAACAGTCATCAGGGTTTTGATGATGCCGCGAAGCGAGTTCATCTTGCGAGATATCAATGCTCCCACGATGCTTCCTAATGTACCTAAAACATTCTCCGTAAATCCCATGATATCAAAAACAGAAAAATAATTATATAGGATTTCCTCGAGACCCTGTTTTTCTTTATAACATTCAGCGCCGCAGGCAATTTATTCAAAAAATTAGGTTAAAATGCTGCTTTTGGGCACTTTTTAAAAGTTTAGACCAAAAAATACAGAGGCGAAGCTGCGCTTTGCAAACAAAAGCGAGAAAACGCCAAAACAAGCTCTATACACCCTGATTCGATCCTTTTTTTATAGCACTAGTTTGAAGATAGAGTAGTCTGTAGCTGTGCAATTAACAGAATAATCCGAACTCTATAATTATTGAAAAAAATCAGAAGCGGATAAAAAAATCAGCAGAAACAGGGGCGGATCGAGGAACTTCGAGGGGAAGGAAGGCGGATTTTCAAAAAATTGTCAAACATTTTGTCGACTTTTTTTATGTCGACAAAATTGATTTTCCGAGCTCTCCCAAATCATTATAAAGAACCTATTTTGGTCAAATTTTTTGCGCCGCGGTCAAAGTTTGAAAAAAAAACAGGCCAAAAAAGGCTCTTCCTTCAAAATTAGTATATATTGGCGCCTTTAGAAAATTTTTAGGCTCCGTCGCCAAATATGGATATCTCAAAATAGTACAAAGGGTGGGGACCCTTTGGGTCGAATCCGAGGGGGGGGGGCGTCCACCTCCCTCCCTAAATCCGCCCCTGAGTAGAACTAAGCAAAATAATTTCAAATATACGCTCTAAAGAAAAGATTGCTAGTGATTTTTTGGTAGTGAGTCAGTGGGAAAATCAGTCTAACAAGCGGAAGCATGAAGACTAGTTTTTTCGACATAACAGTCCCAAATTTTTATTGAGACTTCAATCACGACCAAAAAGCTTTTAAACGATATCACACTTGACCTATAAACTTCCTCAAAGTGCCAAAATCGGATGAAAAAAAAACCATCCCAAGCCATAGTTCTGTACAATTACGTTGTGACATTGCCCGAAAAAAACGCAATGGAATCAAAATTGATTCTATTAGTTCGATTTTTGGCAACCTTTCATACCTAAAACGATGACAGATGCGAATGTTATTGCAGCTCCACTTGAAGTCATCGCTAGACTCTGTTGGAAGAACTTGGCTCCGAATGTCACCAGGCCAGAGTATATGAAGGCCTCCGGCACCGCAGCTAGGGTGAACAGAATCCAGGGCAAATTGCACACCACCGCTGACAGCTGCGACTTCAAATTGCCCACACTTACCTGAATGTCTTCTTTCGCTTTAGCCGAGGAAGAAAACGGAATAGACTGCGACTGATTTTCAGTTCTTGATACTGAAAGTAAAGTTATCACATTTTTTTAATCACATTTTAAACTCTTGTCACAATAACGAAAAGACTACGCATCTGTTTAAAATCAGTTCAGTTTAGCAGCGTTATAGTCGTTAAGAATCTAGTTACTGTCACTAATGGCAAAAATTATGAATGTGTTACAAGATTGACAGCCAGAACGAACTTACACGCAAAATTTTGGAAAACACGATTCACTTTTCGTGTGCAGAAAGAAAATAAACTAACCTGTATTGCGTGTATACTGATTGTTGAACTTGAGTGGAAAAGAGAGCACTAGCGGCACGCATAGAATGACCCCTACTGCCCCAATACAGAGGCCTACCCACCATGCCCCCACCCACAACACGTGTGAGTTGTCTACAGGCAACTCCTCTAGATCCACCGGAACAGTCAGGAAGACCGCATTCAGACCAGCCCCCATGATTGACCCCAAAGACCTAAAATATCACATTTGCATCGACGAGTTTGTGAATCAAGTACAAGCTGAATTAAATAACTGTAGATGTTTCATTCTTATCTTGGTGAGTTTTTTAATGACGCTTAGACCAATCGGTAACACTTTGCATGAATTTTGCAGTAGCCAGAAAAATTAAAGAAGAGTCATATCAATCTCATCTATTCTAGCTCTAATTTCATCTCAGAAACAAAAGTTAATTCAAACCATTTTTACAACTCGGCGAGAAAGGGGTTTGGTATGTTTTCAAGCATTTTATGCAGATTTTCTGAGTAATTCATTTTCTGAGCAACTCATTACCTGGTTGCCTGCATAATGCCGTAGTAGAAGCCACTGTTGCCTGCCGAGTTCTCCTCGAAGTAGTGCACTGCTAGTGTATTCTGAGCTACAGTGCCACACCCAAACAGGAAGTTACCCACCGATAACACCACTTAAACAATAGAAACATTACGTCATAATAGCCACTCGTTTATTTTTATTTGAAAGAATTAAACATAATCGTCATAAAAAGGAAAGCAGAAGCATCATAAAAAATGTGGCCAAAACTACGCAAACATGATGCGCGATGGTTAAAAATTGGGGTTGAGAAATTGGACGATAAGCAAATTAGACGGAGGCACTTAAAAGGAAATTAGACGATTTTGCAAAACAGCAATTGTGAGAAAATAGACGAAAGTGAGAGAGATTAAAATTGTTTGCAGACAAATTGCGTGAGAAAAATTAAAATAGTTTGCAGAAAGCAGTTAAATTTTGGTGGCGAAAAAATTTACAAGTCAATCATGCATAATTTATTCAATTCAAAACTCTCCTATAACATTCGGATTTGACACTTTATGTTCATTTAAACTAATTGTTTTTTATAGGCATTGACATTTTATACTCTTTTTGTATTTGTGAAACTTGACTCTTAAGAAAAAAATTTTGTTAACCTTTTACTTTTCATGGCTTTGTCTAATTACGTTTTTGTAGCATCCGTCTAACTTGCTTATCGTCTAATTTCCAAGGCTCCTAAAAATTGATCAGCTGTTTAAGTGGGGTTTAGGAACTTAAACGACAAGCAAATAAGACGATCAGAAAATAACGGAATTTAGACACTAACTTGCGTGCAAATTGCGTGCCGTAAATTCCGTTTCTTTACGGTCATCTAATTTGCTTGTCGTCTAATTTCCTAGGCCCCGTTTAAGTAAATAATACTGCTACTAAATCTTTAAAATTCTTTTAAATAAAGGGACGATAATTTAGCTGAAAAAGAATGATTCAGAATTTCAATAACTAGTTTTCTTTGAGTTTTCTTTCAAGTCCGAACAAACCGAATTTCTTCATTGAATAACTTTCCCGATAAGATAATTTAGAGGAAAAGAGAATTGAGAACTAACTTACTACGTTTGTTAGATCTGGAAAAGAGTGAGGATTATCTTAAAATAAAAACAAGATTGATTGGATGGCATGTTTGTGGCAGTGAAGGTGGCATGTTTGTTCATCACTGTTGTTTAACTACCAGAGGAGGGGAGTATAATAATCTAGTGCGTCAATTTTACCAAACGGGGTCTTGTTGGCATCAAACAACAATCAGACTCTGATAGCCTTTGGGTGAGGATAGAAAGATAATGGTTAGAAGAAAGATAACCGACCAAATTTAGTTATATAACAAGACTTTTTTCGAACTTTCACTGATAAAAACTTTGGACTTTCGAGCTATATATCTCGGGTTTTTTTTGTAATTTTTTTGTTGTCAGTTTTAAACTTCATTCAAGGTGTCCTTATTGGAGGGGGTCCCATATTCTGCAAAAAAATAGTGCACAATTGAGTATCAGAAGCCCCCAATAATTAGACATCATCGTCCAAGTGTCGTAAAATTCATTCTCAAACGTATTTAAGAACCATTCCATCTTCGTACCCAAATCATTGCCAAAAACCGTTGGCAAATCTCGTACAATTGACGCCCTCCCACTTACCAGGGTATACTGCAGACTCATCCTGTGTTTGCGAAATGACATCACAATACAACTGCGTTCTGTTGCCGTCGCAAGTGTTCAGGTCTCCCTCGGAGTTCACGTGGTAGACTCCCGATATGAACTGGGGCATTGCCATGGTCACACATGCCACTGAGACTGTAGTAAACCCGATGGCCATCCATTTGGGTTTGGTCAAATACTTCGTGCCCAGGTAGCTAACTTTAACAACACACACTAATTAACTCCACTAACTATATCAAAAAATTATTGTTACCTCCGGGCTACGGTGGCAAAAAAAATCGAATTTTTTTGAATGTTTGATTCAGTTCCGCTTGATCTTAATGACTTCGATAACGAAACGAAGTTCATTGATGTGGCACTCAAAAACAAACACAATTTCCAGCATTTTTAAATTCTGAGCAGGTTTCTCGAGTTTGAGAGCACAAATCCAATGGAGCTGAAGAGGCGTTCCAATTCAGCTGTTGTCGACATGCAGAATAAAACTGTTTGAATGTGCCCAATTGATAGTTTTGACGTATATACCTTGATTTAAATCATTCATTCAAATGCAACCATGCTCATAACTACGAAATATACATATCAAAAAGGTTGCCGAAAAATGGTGGCTTTTTATCGCTGACCTATTTGACTTCATCTTATAAGCTTTTGTCTTTTCAGATACTAATTTGCTATCAGTAAACCAGCTCATGAACCCATAAAAGTCAAACCCCTTGGGAAAATTCTGGACCCACGGCTGATTTCTTTTGTCTATATTAGCAGCCGAGAGAAGTCAGTACCGGATCTATGATTTGTCAGAGAGAGTTGAAAACGTATCGTCGTTTCTAGGTCGTTGAACTGTTTTTCTGAACACTACCGAAACACTGAAAAGAACTTAATAATGGGCGAAGCTTACTTTTAAACAAGTTACTTCCCAAGTTAATTTAACACGTTTCCACAAAACTTGATTTGATTTTGATTTATATTGCGTTACGTCCCCAGCGAGCGAGCTGGCGCTAGTTTATAAAATCTATCATTTATTATCCGTTAGTAAAAAATACACCTAAAAATCAGCCGATCAAAATAATGTCAATTAGTAGCTCCAAAGTGGTGTAATTTGTGCAAGGGGTAGTCGGTGAGTACTTTTAAACTTTTGTGAGAACTTAATTAGATACATCATTTGACTTGACCTGTTCAACCATCTTTACGATCTTCTCTCGATGTCTTTGCAACAATTGATATTTGCTACTGATTTATAAATACACGAACACGAATTTACTCATAATATTTATAACTGATTGACTAGCATAAAATGGGAAGAATATATCTCACATGGTACAGCTATGAGGCAGTAGGCCACATCGTACATGATGCTGATGATGCCAGAAGTGGTACTTGAGAAGCTGAATCTAGTCTCCAGACTCTGGTAGTTGGTCGGATTCACTCCATTCGTGCAGAAGCTCTCGAAGAAGACGGTGACACATAACACTACTGCGAACAGGTTAATTGTCACCAGAGAGGAGCTGCAACGGAAAGGACCCAGACCAAACGATGACTCACAGGTCTGAAAAAATTCGTGACTATATTATTTGGGATTGGAGAGGTCGAAAATTCAAAATATAGCCAACAGACAATTGAAAAAGAGTCAATGAGCGCAATTAAACAGAAAAAAAAATCTGATTTGTTTTTTGAAAAAAAACTTTCAAATTTCAAGAAAATTTGCGAAAGTTCCAAAATTTAAAGAAAAAATGCATGCCCTCAAGGCGCTTTTAATTATTAGAACAATTTGTGATAGGCACTTTTTCGATCAAATTAACCCAATTTGAGAAAACTGTATCAATCGGTAATTTTTTTTTTATTTCGCTGGGAAATCTGAGAATTAAATTCCACTTTCGAAACTAGAAGTCGCTGACCTTTAAACTTTCGCTGTTAGATAGTGTAGTTTGCCTTCCTTTTAGCAAAGGAAATGAACTGAACTTAAAAAGTAATTAAAGTCAAACCGCGAAAAAGTAAATTTGAGCCTGAAAAATTTTTAAGACTTTTCCTGAAAAAAAGGGAAGAAAAATCATCGCGACCTATATAAGAGTCTGAACTACGTTCATGGACTCTTAACAACATGCGGAACAAAGGGTCGCAAATTGAGACAACTGACAAATGAGTCCACAATTCAATGCATCTGCATTTAAAACATAAAAAAGGGATAAATTGAGTCTACTTTCAATTGAGTTACAATTAGAAACTATCTTGAAAAGCAGCAAGCAATGCTTCAGGCGCATTATACAGCTTCTGCTGAATCTTAGCGCAGCAAAGCGAAGCGCAAAAAGGGTTTCTTAAAGATCCATTCCACTTGTTTTTTTTTTAAAAAAAACTGGGTGTCACAATTTCTGTCAAAACTGTCAATGTCGTAAGAAAAAACAATGAACGGCAAACACTCACTAGTGTATATCATTCCACTCCTGTCAAATATAAGCGCAGCGAAGCAAGAGTGCGTTACTCTAGAATTTCAACTACAATTGCGTTTCTAGTCATGTATTGTTTGTAAATACAGTCTGATTATCCAGCATACGGATTTCCCGTTTTTGGCACTCCAAGATAAGCAAAAAAGACAAGAGTTAACTTTTACCACATAATCGACAGTCGAATCCAATCCAGCTTCAACTACGATAGTTAAGAATCACAAGTTTATCTCAAGAAAGCTTACTGTATTCGCACAGGCAGTTAAAAGTATTCGTTATCATGTTTGTAAATATAACTCAACGATAGTGCTTTTTCGATCATGATGAAGATAGTTAACTGAAAAATTCAAACTCCTTAGCGATTGATTAAGCTGCGGTATACTCTGATTTCATTTATCTTAAACATACTTTGTTGGTGCTCGCTTCTTCTCCAGGAAAAGTGTTTCTGTCATCCATCTCAAATTCTGAAGTCGATGTGGGTGACGTCGCGCATGTTGTTTCTCGAACGTGCTCTTCTCCTGTCGGCAAAGGGAGTCGACAATTCTCCCCTATTGACCATTTATCCCTCGCTTCATTCAAGTCCATTTGATTCACATTCTGCTGGCCGAATTCACGTTCATTCATATCAGTTCCGAGCGTCGAAACCAAACAAGTACTTAAGTAGCGCCCCTATTGCTTTTTGGGTTTTCACTGCACGGTCGTCATTTATCACTGAACAAAACGCCCGAGCAATTTTTTAACAGGTCCGTTGAAGACAGTTTAATTTTCGTGGTTTCAAACATCCATGCAGTAAGATTATAGATACAAGTTTTATCTAAAAACAATTTTTAATAAACGACTAAAAATTGAGGCAAATAGTTCCAAATTGCTTTTTTCTCGGAAAATATAATAATCAATAACGAGGACTCATCTACCAACACTAAAAAATTTCAAAGCTTAACTCATATTGTGATCACTCCTAGACTTCTTGCGCGCCACAATCGGAAGGCGATTGATTTTTTTTTTACTCAGAAGTACAACAGATTGTTTATCAAAGCTGCCCCTTTTAAAGCCAATATACGGCAAAAATTTTGAGTGCCGCGTGTGATATTTGATTCTCAGATTTTCTTAACAACCTCTAAATTAAAAAAAAACATATATTTTTTCTGCCGATCGATTTACTCTTCCAGTCTGTGTTTAAATAATTGTTCCGACCACTCGAAAAGCGGAAACGAATTTTGACCATGGTTCGGATTCTTAATTTTTTTTCGTTTTTCAGACTGCATTAGACAAAACTTGATGAGAGGCTGACCACGCAATTTTAATGTTAAACTGACTATAGTTATCAAAATATCATGCAATTTGACCTAATTCAATGGCCCCTTCTAAACAAAAGAAGTTGAGAGGAAACTTAGACAAAGGGTTTTTTGAATACTGAATAACGCCTACAATGCCACTCGTCCAGAATTTAGCTCAGTTAAGTCCAGTGGAGGAGCGGAGCAATCATAAATTCAACATGCAGAGGTCGAAAGGAATATATAACTTTCAAGCCAAAAAATATTTAGGATTTTAAGTGGAAAAAAAAACATTTTTGTTGATCTTTTCACATTAGGTGTTCATGGTAAGTTTTTTTTAACTTGAATCGGTTAGGTTCTTTAGTTTTTTCAACGGATGTGTAATACAATGAATTGAATTAATTAGTGAGAAAATATACGTATACAACATTTCTTCACAAGGATCGCGCACGAGCCCTGCGGCTCATCGAGGCGAGACCCTGGAAAACCAAAAACACGAGGATCAAGATACTAACAAATATAAAAAATGGTTTCATTTAAATCGAATTATTTATCAGAAAACAGTTCTTATCTATCTACCTGTATTTATTAATTTCGCTTGTCTTTAATTGTTTTAAATTGTCAGGTAGCAGTTTGTTTGAGGATAAAAAACTGTAAAAACTTTTTTCTTCTCTGGCTGAACGACCTGTGCAGCCCATTTGTTCTTACTAGTAGTAAATTTTTGATTCGCGAGCTCTTGTGAAAATTCTTCTTCGCGGAAATTTTTTTAAGCAACTGATCAATAGCTTTTTTATGTAATTGATCAAAAAAGATTTCGAAGACGGTTTCAATTTTGTATTCATGAAAAATTGACATCACGGTTTCGAACTTTCATTTTGAAAATATAGTTCTGAATGTCCGTTTTTGCAAAAACCATTTCGCAGAACATTTTTTGTTGAACAACCATTTGCTAGTAAGCCATATGATATATCGGGCTTGGCAAAACATTTAGAAATCTCAGGATGAGTTTTCGAGAAAAAAAACCTTCCTTGCTTGATATGTTAAAACATTAAAACGAGCTAACTTTTTGCAAATATTATCAACATGCTGATGAAAAACCAAATTATTTTCTATTACGACGCGTAAATATTTGAAGTTACCTACATATTCCATTTTTTCTCCTCCGAGAGATACTTCGCATTTTTGTGTTTTCTGACCAAAATTAGCTACATTTTCAACTTATTCTTTAAATTCCTGCACTGCTCCTAAATGTTTATAAGTGCAAAACAGCGTTGTGTAATCACCGAAAAGACACATTTATTAGTTTTTTTAATTGATAGGAAGGTCATTCAAGTATCGTAGAAACAGCAGCGGCCCAAGTACCGAGCCCTGTGGAACACCGTATTTAATCTTTAACAAATTCCAATTCTTTTCATTTGAGGATACGTATTGAAAACGGTCAGTTAAAAATGATTGTATTAGGTTGTAGCATATGCCTTCAAGCTTTTGCATCAGAATAGTATGATCGATAGTAACAAACGCTCTATAAAACTCCATTCCTATGTTTTTCGAATCTTTGCATGACCGCATAATTTCTGTTGCTGTTATGATAGGGTGGATTCATGAACGATTTTTCCTGAAACCAAACTATTCTGCTGCAAGGATGTTCAACTTATTTGTAAATTTCAATACACGATTGAAAAGCATTTTTTCGATAACTTCACTAATTGATGAAAGCAAGGCTTATTGGTCTGAAAAAGGATGGGTTTTCGTAAAAATCCTTCTCATGAAAAGGTAGAACTTTGGCTAATTTAAACACATCTGGAAATTTTTCATAGATGAACATTTGATTGAACAAATTAGATATTGGATAGCTAATTACCTCAGCACATAATTTAATCATTTTATTAATTATGCCATCAAGATCACTAGACGATTTGTTTTTAAGAGTTTTAATAACCTTCAGTACTTCATCATGATGAAAAATTGAGCAGTCGTTCTGTTTAACTCTAAAATAGTTAATGTTCTATTATCTTGCATGTTAGCCAGTTTTTCTCGAATGTCAACAATGTGAATTCATTAAAATCTATTGAAAAAAAAATTTCTTTTAATTTGCCGCATCATTAATTAAAATCAGAGAACAGTGATTCGAAATTACAAATAGGAACGCATTTTTTTTTCATAGTACGCGCTTGTGCTTTGTCTGATAAGACGAACAATGATGTCATTAAAAATTACTTAAGCTAATTTAAAACTTAAGCTAATCAAAATTTACTACTTGAGCTTATATATATAACTTGGAAAAAACTGCTCAAAATAGAGAACATCAGTATTTATTAATTTTGAATTACTTTACTGATGAAAAAAAATAAATCGATATAAAAAAGTTCAAATAATTTCGCAGAAAATCAAATTGTTGAAACAATTTTTTTGAATTGTTTCGAATAATTTTAATTTTTTTAAGGAACATCACAGGTGTATCGTTGCAAATAAATTTTATTGGTGTAGGGATTTCATTGCATCCCTCGGGAAGCTTATTAATGCCTCGCATTCTTTTCTTTTGCAATCAAGCTTTTTCATGCAGAACGGCTGAAGTCGGAAAACCTTTTGCTACTTTCAGAGCAACTGGCTTTTTGCTTGAATTTCTGAAAATCGATAATTCTAAAAATCAACAAGCTGTCACCAAACATTACTGTTCGAAAAAACTCAATAAACTCAAGAAAAAAGTCAATAAAGTTCATGTTAAGCTTATAAAACTAGTTCGCTCCGGAGTAAAACTCTTCTATTGTCAACGTACAAAGAGATTGAAACTTTATTTCTAAACTAACATAAAAACGAAGTATTTCTTCACGTTTTGTAACAATTATTTTACTATTAACCAAGATACCTGACTAAAACTTTTCCAACGTACCTGAAAGAAAATGTATTTTAAAAAACTTGAAAAACCTTGAAGGTCAAACCTTGAAAAAACCTGTTGATGAAGTGGTGTTTATTCAGTCAATTCTTACTCGATGGAGATGTGTTCAACTTGATGAAAATCCTCATAAACAGCTAAGAGTTCAAAATTATTGTTAACCCGGAAAAAGTCTATATTCCGATTTGATAACGCTTGCTAATAGCAAGCGCAAATAATATTAGTTTCAAAAACTTTATTAGATTCGTCTGAGTCATTACATTAAGACAAACAGTCATTGATGCGGTTGAAACATGTGAAAGAAACGTCTAAGTTTTAGTGAATAAATATTTAAATTGTCTAAGCAGGTCCCTTTTTCGACGTGGGACAAAGAAACTTTTTCAACTGTTGTCATTTTCGCACTATATAATGAGAAATTTAAGTTCGTTAGCTTTCCAAAGAAAAATTATGGTTATAAACTCAAAATTACGAAAAAATTTCAACAAAATACCACTCTAACGAGTGGCCCAAGAGCCCAAGTGACTGGCCCAAGAGCGCCTACCAAGAAGAGTTATCAAGTTTTGATCCAGCCAGATTCCTTTAAATGACCTCATCGGCCATGCTTGAAGATTTCAGCCGTCTATCTAAAAGAGCTGCCAAAAAAATGTGAAAGCGAATGAGATAAAAAACTTGTGACGAGGAATTCTCTTGTTCTAGGATGGATAGTAAGATTTCTTTCAGCTACATCGCTACGCTGGAAAAAGATAATTTATTTTTCAATTAAACATTTCTAAACTTTCGCTTTATTAACAAAAAAGGCATTTTAAAAACAATTTATAGCACAGGTTCGTTATTCGTTAGGAAATTCTTATAAATATAAGCAAAAGAACACATGGAAAAAAAATACAGCAAATTTACATCAAATTGCGAAGAGAATTTTGAATGTCTGTGGAACAGAAACTTTTTGAAATACGATCAAAGGGTGATTGGAGAAATTAGCACTTCCTAATGATACCAGCTGTTCTGTTATAATATCTTTTAGACAAACTTAACTAATCAGCACAACTAAACTAACATCAGATTTCGTTCATCTAACCCGAAAAATAACTGCACCGAACACAATTTGCTTTGAAATCCGAGAACGGTAGCATACCGCTTGTCAGTCTGCACAATGTCGAAGAAATCGTTTTCTTCTCTTGAAATAGAGTAGCAAGACGGAATCATCGACCTTAATTATAGAATAGTAGAATGGATAACAGAGTGAATGTGATCCTGAAAGAGAACCGGCGATTCTTAGAGTTTTGTACAGGCTGATCCATATTTATTAGGGGCGCACTTAGGAGATGTGGTAGACCATTTCTATGAACTCCGAGACTAATTGAATGACCGCGGAATTAAGATATTGATTGTTGACGCTGTGCCACTGAAAGCCATTCCAGCAGACATACGTGGTCTGAACAAAGGTTTGAGCAATAGACTCAGAGCAAAGCACCGCAGATAGCGATTAAGTATGAGCTAGCGCATGACTCGCACCTTCGGTACTCCAAAAAAAATCGTTAAACGTAAAAAGCGCTTTCCGAATAGTAAAATAGCGACAATTAAAACAACTGAAGATAAACTGTGAAGATCGAAAATAACATGTTAATGCAAAAGGAGAAGAGGGCG